CTGTATATAAATATTCGATTACTTTGATAAATATATCGATTTATCCAGAACGTCAACTCGTCCGAACAGGCCTAACATCCGCGAAATTCGACTTTGAATATTGCTAAAAAGATAAAGACACGGAGTAGTAATAAGTCTCTTTACTTAAATTAAAGTATATACTTTTTGTTTATCCATGAGTTATGAGAAGTATCAGATCCTAATCATTACATACATTTTGTTTCCTTTCTTGCATAACCTTGTTCAGTAGATGTATGTTAGCGACAATGCACCTCCGTGTCGATATGACAGATAGCCCGTTGCTATTTAAGATCATTTTATTTCTGTGTTATTAGCTTCTCTGCAGATTCTTTCTTTTTTATTTAATTTGCACTTTACAATTTGTCCAGCTGGACATTCGGTAAATTTTTCTAGCTATTCTTTGTAGATGGGCACATATAGAAAGTACGAAGGCTAACTGCCATTATTGGGTTGGCAACTAAGTGATTGCAGATTTTGTCATTAGGTGGTAATAACAAAATCCGCAAGAACTTAGTTGCCAACCCAATAGAACCTCAGTCCCACGAATCAAAATCCTCGATCGTCGAAAGTGATCAGGCTGGATCGGAGCGAGTGAAACCCCACTGCAGGACTGGACAGAGCTGCTCACCAGCCGGGGGTCCCTATTAATGCCCATTTCGCGTTTAATCTGATCGCTGATCTCTCAGAACGCGTACGGTCGCGACTGACCGGCAGATAGAGCGCGAAAAGTGATGAGAAGCGCGGAGATAAGGGAACGTGGTGGAACGGGTGGTTAGGATAACGGCCACGAGGCGGGAAGAGCGACAAGGACGATGGAAATACTAATAGCGGTGGGGATATGGGGCCCTGGAGCAAGCGGGTCCGACGCTGCGGGGGGCCTCACACGCACGAGCCAACACATCGCCTTGAAAAACCAACATCGGCGCCGACAAATAACTACCCATATTATCCGATCTTGTAGGCTACCATCTCACCACGAGCCCTTTGTGAGGGGGCCAGCGTTATGTATAGCGGGCCCCATGGAACCGAGACGGTAAAATACAGCCGTCCCCACCACCGGTCTTCTTCTTGGTATACCTTTGCGTTTCTCGTTTATTTTAAACGAAATTTTGGCGCGCGTATTTTTATCAAGTTTGTCTTGTTGCGATGTTTTATTCTGGGATTAGACGGTTAATGTATTGCTTGGTGTCTTTAGATAATTAAATACAGCCGTTCTGTCCATTGCTTCCCTCCTTTCGCGTTTCTTGTCCGTTCTACGTGAAATTTTGCCATAGTATGCGCTTTCGTGAAGTTTGTTGTAACGTTTAATTTTGAGATTAAATGTCTAGCATTAGCTGGCGTCGTTGTAACTTTAATGCTACAGTGCCACTTGATTTCCTTCGTGGGATACCTTTGTATTTCCTGTTCATTTTCAATGAAATTTTCAGGATGTTTAATTTTCAGGTGGTTCAGGATCAGGTGGTTAACGTATTGGTTGACGTCTTTACGTATACGATATGTCTATTATAATATATAGCCGCCTCCTCTACTGGTTTCCTTCTTGGTACACACCTTCGCGTTTCTCGTTTATTCAAAATGAGATTTTGGCGTACGTCTCTTTATGGAGTTTGTTCCGTGATTTTTGTTGTAACGTTTATTTCTGGAATTAGATGGCTGATGTCTTTATGCAAATTATACAGCCAGAGACAAGAAAAGAAAAAAGACAGAGGTTTAACAGACTTGCCAGTCCTAACGTTAAATTTATCGAATCTCCTTCCTTTCTCACCATTAAAAATTGATTTCCTCAATAAATCTATCTCGTACCATTTCTTATATTTACTTCGACTCATTAACTCAATTTAATTCCACCTTTTACAACTGATAACAGACAACGTTCTGCTTGTCTTTCGTGACCATCGAAGTGGTTCACCGAACAAATAATAAAGTAATTAAAAGAGTGTGTCGTTGCTGAGGAACCAGTCTGCCGGTCGCTTATCTCGCCGTCACAGCGAAGCGAAATTTATATTTCCTGCCATTATTTTTGCCGCGTATTCCGCAGGAGTCTGGAAACGAATAAAACTCGCCCGCAGTACCAGGAGACGATACCGTTAAGCGTAAATCCGCCGTTCTCGCCTGATACTAATAAAGACTGACCTGTCTGCTCGTAGGTGCGAAAAACGTCTCGAGCTCCAACGGAAACGTCCATTCAGCGATAAAACGGGGATTAATCAAAGCGATAGAAACGTTTTAGCGACTCGAGAACCGCTCAAGTAGTAGAGCTCCTTTCTGAAGACTTTCAGATTGGATCGAGAAACGAGATCTTACGGTTAATTGAATCTCGCGCCATTGAATCTCTTCAAGTCGTTTACTCAATATTTCTCGAAATGTATACGGTGACCCACCAAACCATTCGAACATTTATCGCACAATGTTTCTGCGGACATATCACGCACGTTGTACGAAACTTTCTAAAGTTCCGTTAGCACCGTAACGAGACACGACTATCGCGATTACAATAGGAAAATTTGAAATCAAACGGGACACGCGTGTAGAAGTTACAAGATATTTATTGCAAATATACACTGAACGAAAAATTAGTATATGGCTTGTATAGTACGTAGTAGTCTTAAACATACAATTAATGCTAAAGATCGTCACACTGTATATCGTGGCTTGTTAATATAGTGAATAATTTGATTGTTTAAATAGTTTGCAGATACGAATGAATATCTGTAAATGTAACTTGCGCGTATATTTTTGCATCCGTTTCAAATTTTGCCAATATAATCACGATAGTCGTGATCTCGTTACAATGCTGATGTGATTTCGAAATGCTTTGTATAATATATGCATAAGAAGAAGGAGCCACTGTATATAGAATTTTTCATTGCTTTTGTATCTTCGTTGCTTTTTAAAACGTATCGATTCGATTAAACCAGCAAGTGATAAATGAAAAGGAAATGTTAAATGTTAAAAAAAAAGAAAAAAAAAAAAAGAAATTGAATTGATATATTTTGACATGAAAATTTGTAGAATGACGTGAATGGCATTTAATAAGCAAGCATAGGTGTATCGAGGTATTAATTAACGTGGCATCAGCGCGATTAACGAAGGCGGGAAATTAATTAGTCAAGCGCGGATTTGACGGGGCGGTGGTTAATGAAGTGTAGAATTGTCGGAGTTTTATTTAATTACTCGGTGCCGAGTCGAGGACGCTCGTTAAAAAATTATAACGTCGTTAAAATTTTAACGAGGCCGGCTGGACAGAATTTTCGAAATGTTCTATCATCGACGCCGCGAGAAAGTTTTTAATTAATTAGCCATAGATCCCGCGCAGAATGTCGATGAATTTGTTATGACGCTATTAAAATGCCGAGCAATTATTTATAAATCTGACAGACTAATAGCTCAATCATTCAGAAAATCTTTCCGTTGTTATTCCATTTTTTTTTTCATCCTCCTTTGACTAAATTTTTATCCGTTCCCTTTTGAAGTAACCTCGAATTTAACCCTTTCATCCTTCCAGAACGATAATTCCATCCAATGTTTTATGATTTTTACAGTACGTTCGCGCTATGCAGTATCCTTTTCCGAAACTAATTAACAGAGAAATACTACAACTGAATTAATACATCGAATCGAAAACTCAAATAAGGAAAGGTAATTTGGACAGATTTTTTCAAATAAATTTGGACGTACTCGGATTAATATATCACCTGAAAGAATCATTTCCTATAATCTCAGCTAACACGGTATTTCAATGAATTTCTTCAGAATAATTTACGTAGTCAAATATATGACACTCACGTTAAGCCATGTACGTCATTCGGACTACTCGGATGGCATATTAATAAACTTCACAAATCAACAATAAGTAATCTTATAGAAGTAAATAATTCGTTTAAAAAAAGTCTAATTGTAGAATAAAGGATAAAAAGTGTCCTACTAATTGTATGTATCCTAATGAAATTGAGAAAGTTACAAAACACGATGTTAAATCGATTTGACTTTTAAAGCTTCGTTTAAGAGTGCAAGAAAGTAGCGTAGAATGTTAATTAGATGCTTCCAGCTGGTTCCCTTTCCTATTCACGCGGCGTAGCTAGACAACTAGCGCCATCAGGCCAGATCTCCTTCTAAGAGCATTCGAAGCGCCACAAAAGCGTTCGAGCGGAGTGGACGAAGGCCGTGCGACGTTTACAAGGCGTCCGATTAATTTCTCGTCGGTCGGGATGAATCTTTCGGTCCGCAGGAGGAACGTAAGGGCCGGTCTTCTGGCCTTTCATGGCCAGGAGACGCTGAAGGCTCCGCGGCACCCACGGCACCGATTGTAAATTAGGGCAAATTGATCGCAAATCAGCCGCGCCGGACGAGAGTCACTCCCACACGATCCGTCCGGGAAAGGGGAAGAGACGCAAACATGCCCAGCCCAGGACTTTGTACGCGAGACCAGGCCTTGAACGACGATGAGAGAGAAAAGTAATGCCCGAACGGTCGCGGGTTTATTGGCCATCTTAGTTTCCAACGATCGCCGCGAATGTAAATCCTCTAAACGACTAACGCGTTTAGCTTTGGTGTCTTAGCTTCAGGGAACGTTCCTAGGATTGGTGCTCGTTTATGCGCTCCTTTAAACAATTAGGCGATCGTTCTTCGCGTCATTTTGATTTTTATACCCGGCCTTTTGCGGTTCTACATATATATGCACCCTGTTCATAATTATTAGCACAGCGTAACTTTATACCATAAGATGTGATGATTGGAATAAATTGTCAAGAATCAATCGATCGGCAGAATTTTGCATTCATGCCATGAGAGGAGCAATTATGAACATTAATAATTATGAACATTACAAATGCTAAGAGGAAAAATCTGGAATCGAATAACAAGAAATTATCCGAACGTTGAAAATGATTAAAATAGCCGAGGAAAGACATAATCTCGTAAACTGGTTTACATTATGACACTGAATGCGTGAATTTTATTTATCCCACGTTCTATAATCTTTATCTGTCTTGATCTAAGGTCTCCAATCTTGTTCCAGATAGATGAACCTTGGCACTCACGTTCTACCGAAAATTATAAAATTGTAGTAGAAATATTTATAACCCACTTGTTAATATACAATGATAATATTAATTGGAAAATTATTGTGCAAGAGATGGCGGGTTTAAAGGAGTCTAGCCCACCAGTACCTAAGAATCTTCTTGATAACGATTTTAAAAGGATCCTTGGAATCCCTGACCATCGGAAGAGCATCGTGTCGTCGAGCTCTGTCCCGAAGCATCTCCAGAATTCAACCACCCGTTCTCACCTGGACACCAGAGAGGCAGGCACCTTTCGAGGGTGAGAGAACTGTACCAATGTAACAGTTCGGTGCCTTTAAGCGGCTTCGAGACAGCGGCATCGGCGCCCTCAAACGCGCCGACAAACGTTGTCCCGCTAGAAAGCCCTCGTTCCGCTAACCCTTTCCCAAAGCCAAGCCGCGTCTCGTTCTCTCATCGTGAAACGGCGATCGAAGGGCCGTTTTCGGGGACCAGGTGCGAATGGAGAACAGGCGGAAAGTTTCACATCGATGTGGTCTCGTTAGGCATTCGCAAACCAAGGATTCCATTCGATCAATCGCTCGCAATACCATGAAGCTACCCTAAAATTTTCAATCCTTATGCTATACTATAAAACGCAATTACATCATCAGAGGACTGCGAATATTTCGGCTTCATTTTTGGCAATACAATTAAAAACACGGAATTTAGGTAAAGAACTTGCTTGACCTATCGAATATTGTACAAAGTAGTATTCTTTGGATACTTTATATCCATTCTGTACGTTTATGAAACTTTAAACATAAGATTGGACAAAATCTAATTACAAGTAAAAGGTTAATTGGACAGTCAAGCTTCTAAAGTTCTTGTTATAGCTTCAATCGTTCGTGTTCCGTGTTCAATCTTTGCACAAAACTTCTAGGACACTAGCCATCTTCAATAAAACTTCCATACTTGGTGTGGGCTATGACTTTTAAGTAATATACTTTCTTCGTCGTCCAAACTGTCAAGTTATGCAAAATATTGGAACACAATTCAGCTATGCAACTCTTTTCAACTTTCAAGAAGATATGGTAACTGTCGTAGCAGTTTTGGGCTACGGTGTGCATGCGTGTAGTACTTCATAGTCCAGTTCTCAAGATTCCACTCGCATCGTACTCGCGATAGCAACTTTCATCACAAACAGGAACGATCAAAAAGCTGCATCAGAATGCCTCCAGTTCTCCTTTATCCCAAAGCAAGAACTCAAACAGGAATCCCAATGCCGAATCTCTGAGAACTTAAAGTTGACGATGTCAATTAACAATCCCAGCCGCGGCCCAATTAATCAGCCAGGGCATAACCGAAAAACGAGAAGCAAGAACCGTGGACAAGCATCAATCTCGCGTCGGTTGCCAGCGTAAATCCGCTCCGTCCGACACTCTCCGTTTCCATTATTCCTCTTCCCATCGAAGACGCCAAGCCAGGACCGAAACAAGCCGAGTCCCGAGAGAGAGGAAGAGAGAGAGAGAGAGAGAGAGAGTAGAGGTAGAAGGCTCGAGCCAAAGCGACCAAAGCCACGGATATCTATAGCCCACGACGAAGAGGTGTACACGACTAGAGAGGATGGCTCCCGGTCGCGCTGGATGGACACGGACAGGTCCGCATTGTATTCTGCGGCCAGTAAATCCTGGTGCTCGTAGTGTAAATGAGAGCCAGCCGGGGCGGGGAACGGTGGTACCCGGCTAGGCTTGGACCAGAAAGGGCCAAGGCTCCTCTCCGCTTCCAACTAACGCGCCGACGATGGCGAAACAGAGACGGAAAGATTTATCTGCGAGCCGCGAGCACGCCACGGCAACCCTTTGTCGCTGGCCGCGGTGAGAAGTTCGCATTTTTCGCCATTTTTTTCCTACCGTTCCGCGTCCGTTTCCGTCTCCTTCCGATCCTTTCGTCGGATTTTTTTCATAGTTTCTTCTTCTTCTTCTTCTTCTTCTCCTACGGAGTTCTTCGTTTGGTGAACGCAAGGAAAGACGGAGGAATCGAGGGAATCTGACGGGGCTCAACGTGCTTGATTGTCCACGATTGTTAGAGATACTTTGCATTTAGAGGAGAATTGCCAGATGGAGTATGAATTAGAAAAGAAGTTGGAGGTTGCATGATTATGTCTTAGGGGAAGATCGATTTTATGTTTGGTTTCGGTAATGGATACTGGAGGGTGGGTTGGCAATAGGTGACACGAACCAGATACGAGTTAGTGTCGTGTGTGCTTCGCAGGGAATTTGTAATTAATCCAGCTGACACGTTGTTGACTAGGCGTGACTAGGCGTGGTTGCTTTTATTTCCTATCACTGTTCTTTATTTCTTTCTACTAGAGACAAAATAATCGACGATTATATCTTATACAAAAGTTAATCCCTATATTTTGGTTGAACCTATGATAATACGTGAGATCTTAGGCTACCAAATAAGCTGTCGGTTTCGTTAAACAAACAGCTACATGAATTTAATTTAGGTCGAGTCAGGGATCATAGTCACCATGAAAAAGCAAAAGAAATGCAAATAGTTACATTTCTTACTCCGATATAAAGTTTGTAAAACGACACGAAATATACCAGGCAAGCTACAAAATTCACATTTTTCGTCTTCAACCTTTCCTCTACTCGATCCACTTCCATTCTCTCCAGACAAAGCCATAATTACAATCAATTCCTCTCGATCTCGCGATCATTGCTCACGAAACCATTCCAATCGTTCAGAAGCACACTAACGGCGTCCTCCATCATTTCTTCCATCTCTTCCAGCCCGAAAACACAGCCACAAAAGTCCGTTTCCCCCAAAACCATCCAGCCCAGATAGACAGTTGGGTCAGACGTCGGAGACAGATCGATCGATCAGTCTAAAAACGCGTGCAACCTTAATTTCTCCGCATGGATCGTCACGTAAGACGTCCCTTCGCGTTCCAGAGGGTCGGCCAAGAAAGCGAAAGCCGACCGCCGAGTCGGCCACTTTGCATAGTTTAGCGCTGCGACACCTCCCGGTGTCAATTAAATCCTCGTCGGCTATCGGACTGTGTCGAGTGGTCCATGGGTCCCCTTCAACTCCGAAACTAGCCCCCTTGCCTCTGTCGTGGACGAGTTTCGACGCCGATCAAAGACCACCGGGCATTCCAATTGCTTCCTAATCTTCGTATCGTCGGAGCCAGGCTTTTTTCTTACCTTTTAGCCTTTATCGGTTACGAGTTTTTGATTGATCTATATGGTTCCCTGGGGTGGTATTTTTTTCTTGATAGGATAGCGAGCAGGGACCAGTTGTCTCGAAGTGATTTTATCGAGCTTCGATATTCGAGATGAAGTTCTTCGTGGAAAATCATTCCGGTATAGAACGATGCTATGATTAATTACTTGATGAAGGTAATTCCGTGTTATTGTATATTAAATCTACTGTTTCATTTGTATATCGTTATTGATTTATTTATGCACTTCAGCTTCAGATTAATGAATTTCAAAAAATATTTACACAGCTTGAAAGGAAGTATCGAAAAGTGGTGATCGATTATGTATTCGTGGCTATGGTTTTCTATCGCGAGGAAACAAAATTCTAATTATAAGCACACTTAATTATTAAACTGCGAATTTCCATGCGCTCGTAGGAAATTAAAAATCGATTACTAAACATCGTTAGAATCCACATAATATGCAAAAGTACGGAAGATATCCAAAGCATAACGTTAATCGTGATATTCAGTGGATGAAATTAAATTTTTACTTAGGTTCCATTTGTTTAATTGGATTTATAAGAATACGACTTTGCATAAAAATTCACGGTTTACCAATCGCTAACCCTAAAACTACCCCTAAGAACTTCTTCGACGCTTCGAAATATCTTGCAGTAAGAAAATAACAATGGCTATTCATTTTCCCTCACTTTCTATTTCGAAATGGTTTCTCGGGTGGAGAAGCATTCTACGTGGCAGACAGACGCGGAAAAAGGATCCGTGCCTAATGGGAATCGAAGGAAACACGCGGCCCAGCCGGAGGTCCTCGCCGAACCAATTTGTATGCTGATGGCTATCTCCGTGGAATAATTTATAAACGATATTAAACCGTGCTCTTTGGCCGGAGCACGCTACACGCTTGGTACCGGCCAGCCCTCGGGCCCACCCCTTTGCCAAAGGGGGTGGTCTCGAATTTATCGTCGGGAATGCAATCTGTCATCGCGTATTGGCCGCGACTTCTGCGACTATTAAATGTAAATCCGTTTCGATCCACCGGGAACGAGTCAATCGATTTTACCACTAACAAACGACTCGCAAGGTGTAAGTGGGTTAAAAGGGGTGATTTTTCAATGTTTTCTCAATGGCCAATTCCCTTTAATTTATTCGAAATTTATTTATTACTTTCTTAAGTTTATATCATAATTAGGAAGCGGGGATATTTTTCGAATTTATTTTCTATTTGTCCTTTTCTTTTTGGAGAAGCGTTTTGATCTATCGAGGAGGGAAATAGAGTTTTCAAATATAGTATTGGAAAGTGGAGTTTTCAAACTTTTCGAGGAGTTTTATGAGATAAAATATGTAGATCTTAAGTTTCATATTGGACAAATAAAAAACTGAACACGATTCCAAATGCAAGAGATAATTTAACCCGGAAAATTCCACCGAAACGTCCACTTTCAATTCATAAAAAAGAGCACTATACTGCTATCTTCGAAACTCAACAAAATAATTAATTATCATTTAATTTCGATAATTACCAAGAGTTGTATTTTCTTGTACCTAAGCAAAGCACCGAATACAATAGAAAATTCAAGCTGAGAAACTCCAACCATGCGAGCTTCCATCTTAAACGTTCCAAAAAGATTTATGGAAACTTATCATGGTCATACGAAAGTTATTAAAAATGACGATAGCCTAACTCTTATCCTAAACATGGCATCTGCTTGGATTTCACAAGGGCGCAATTTGCGCATAAATGTTGCTAACAGGGAAAAACACGTTAAGGGAAGGAGTTTCGTTTCGCGAACGACTTTTTAAGAAACCGCTAATCCAACCTCGAGGGGGTGGCGGCTATGCTAATATCGAAGCGGAAGGGGATACAAGGGGGTTGGCCGTATTCAGAGACAACGAAAAGACGAGCAGCTTTCGTGATCGAATCGATTACCGCGAAACTGGCTGGCTGCTCGGCGAACGCGCGGAATAAAATCGAAAAACGAGCCGCATAAAAGTCAACCGATACGTATCTCTTGCCTCCGCTGGAATCCCTGAGCCCCTTCCAACTGTTCCCGTGTTTCGTGATGGTTAAGTGATCGCGTTTTACGTGCCTCAACTCGGATCGTCGATTATTGCTTTCGTCGAGTTTAAAGGGCAGGACATTGATTCGTTATCGAACCCGGCAAATTACTTCTGCTTGTCTTTCGGCGTTTGAAAGCAAGGAGGACATTGAAATAAGAGGGTTAAGAGAACGTAATTATATTAGGAATATTGGTTTCTTTTGCAGATTTTTCTGCTGATAAGTTTCTATTACTCTAAATAAAGAGATTAAACAGAACACGATGCAGTGTATTAAGTAGGAATATCGATTTCTTTTATGGATATACTTGGCTTCCAACAGAATTTCTATTGAAACTACAAGCCAACTTTAATTCGATGCTTGTAATTTGTTGCTTGTGATCTTTTTCTTCATTCAAATGTATTTCTGTAATTTAGATATTAGACAATCTTCAGTTTAAATCAATAAATAGATGAAATTGAAGATGAGAGAAATATCTGATAACTGTGACACCTATCGTAACTGAATAATTACCTTGCTTGTTTGTGACATGTATTAAAGAATATGTCAGATGTTGGATATTAAAGAATATTTAGTTATAAGAAATAAATAAATAAGATGATGGAAGTAGGAGGAAAATTGATAGTAATCCAATCCTTTTCCTCTCTTTCTAACTTACATGTTAGATATTAAACTTAAACAAGTTGATAAATAAACTAATGAAAAGAAACTAATTAACTTCAGTAACAACTTATTCACAGTAGTTTAATGTTTTCCTTTCTTTTCTTATGTCACAAATTATACATGTTAAAGAGTTCCCTTAAAAGAATAAATAAATGACAGAAGAGAGATAAACCTACTAAATTACTTTCTGAAGCAATTTACATTTTAATGTAATTGAAATTTCTGCTATCTGATACGCGGCCTCAGAATGAAAATTATTCTGTGCCGAATGAATTAGTACGATTAAATTCTACGCAACTGGCAAGGTTCATGAAGTGTTTCAAAGAGGAAAGTCTGAACATCGATGGAAATAATTCTGCTAATAGTTTCATGCTGAACACTAATGACAGCCTTGCTACAAGAGTTTCCTATAATTAGCGCCAAGTCGAACTTCAATCTCTTTGGTGCCCGCAATAATTCACACCTGCAACAGCCGCTCCCTGTCTTATTAACTTCGATACAGGGAGATACTTTGTAATTCAAACGCGTCCCAACCACCAATTAGCCAGAAGGAATTCCATAAAATCGCGAGTCTCCCGAGTAAACTGTTATATCTATCTATCAAATAGTTTCGTCGTTCACACTATTAACGTTTAATGAACATCTTTCTATATTCCTAATATCCTCAAGTTTCTATCATAACATTGGTAATTTACGAAATAAGCTTTGAAGCATAGTCATTGATCTAGCTAATTTTAACATATTAAAGACCAAATTATCGATAGACGTATATAAATAAATAAAGTAGATGAAAATGTTAGTTAACTGCATTGTATAAATCAAAGGCATAATAGAGATTTCTGTAGTTGAAAGACAGTGCTATAAACGGTTCAAGTTCTTCGAATATTATTAAATTGTAGTATCTAAATTTTATTCTTTATTATTACTTTATTATTACTGCCAATTATAACTCGATAAAGATTTATTTCACGTACTATATATTATAGCGAGCGTTTCGCTTTAGACGTTTTCAGAAATTCTTACACGTCATGTAGGTATATTTCTGCACTTTTAAATTTCCAATAAATGCATAAACATCCGTGATGTAATTACGATTATGGAAGATTAATACTCTGAGGCATCGAAATTACCAACATAAATTTCATTAGTGGCATCACGCATAATGCAGTTACTAATTATTTATTTCCTACTGAAACCTCAAGGTATAAATTTTCTGTATCTGATGCAGAGATGAATAAACGCAAGACATTTTGAAGATAAAGTGTCAGATAAAGATCATTGTTTCCTAAATTAATCGCACTCAATTTTTTGTCATTTCATTACAAGGAATTAAATGATCTCTTGAGCTTATAGACAGTATTATTCGTCGCAAAAGAGAAGAGAAATAAAACGTGAAAGAAAGAAAAAATTCGGGTGGAACGTTCCATTGGTAAATAAGCGGGCAGGCCATGACCTACTCCACCGCAAAACGCTCGAGACCAGCCACATTTCCTGGCAGTTGGTATTTTCTCCCGACCCGAAGGTTCTTCCTTCCCTTCAATTTCATCTTGCTTCCTGCAAGACTATCCTCGACTTAATAGCGTTCGCGGATTCGACGTGCACGCACGCCACTCGTAATTGCCCGCGCGGTGTTTGCAGATGTAATTGTGTCTCGCGGTCGAAGCGACCACGATAGAACATTTATTGGCACGAAGTGGTTGTTTACCCTTCGATTTTAATATAGACGGTCCTGTGGATTTTGCTTAATCCGACACGAACCTTTGTTTGCCTCCACTTTCAACTAATTCGTGTTTTACACGTTTACTTGTTGGTCAGATTTCTGTTATTTATAATGATACACGTTGACAGGTGATTTTATATAAGACAGTCGTCTATGATATGTTGTAAAATTTCATGAATTATTTGAGAAGATATTGACAGGATGATTATCACAATGGCGATGAGTTCAGGCTGGAAAATGAATATTTGAGAATATTTTATTATTTACGATGCTACTTGTTAACGAGGTTTAATTAACCCAGGCTTAAAATAAGTTTCCGTCGTGGGAAGTTGGACTGACCTAGGTATAACCGAAATTTAAATTTGCATAAACCTAATGGAATTTTAATTTAACACCTTATATGTCAGCAGAATCTGAGCTGTTCAACGCGAGAAGTTATTGCCACATAATGCAAATCATCTCTAAATGATAGCTTCCTGATTCTCTTCTTTCATTATCTACTGTACAGTTGCTATGGAGACAATATACGTCATGCATATTTGTCGCATGATATCTTAAATTCACCTCGAGACCCGATCGAAGTTAAATATATATCCAAAAGCAATTTAAATCCACGTTAAATCAAATTTATTTAATCTTATACGGAGCACGTTCAGTTCCTGTTTAGTTCGAGTATTATTGCAAGAGGTGAACCAAAAGATACAAAACACAGTATCCAAAGATATAAAGTCCAAAATACACTACGAGAACTATATACGTAATATCTACATTATTCCAAAGGATAATATAAAAATACGAAATACATAGTGGCGGTCGAAAGAAAGTAAGATTGGAATGGATGCATTCGAGCAATTTTTACATTAAACACTTCTTACTATGTTAGTAACAATTGTCAATTCTATAATATATATTGCACTTATTCATTACATTTTAACTTTTAAAGTTCCTTTGGTTCGTCACTCTAAACTCCAAATACAAAACCCAGAAGACGTACTAATGATATATAATGGAATTTTGTTTAGCCATCTGAAGATATCATTCCAGTCTTATCCACCAGATATAAAATATCGAAATATCTACTAACCAAATACAATTAAAAGATAAAAAATAATTACATTTTCTCACCTTAATAAGCTCGTTCCCGCAGAGATTAATTTGCACTTAATGCAAGTTAATCTATAATCAAGTTCTATTTAACCAGGACTTAACCGACGTCTAAATCACAGGGATCGGTAATGAAAGAACGCTGAAGTAATCCCGTGTTCGCGTTCACCGTTCGTTAATTGATTCCGTTTAGCTGGAACTAGGCAACAACTTGGACGAGCAATTATCGCCTCTGGCCGTGGTAAAAAATCGGCGGGAGACAAGAGTGAAAGGATTGGAACGGTGTCAGCGGCGGCGGTGAATCGATTGCGTTGCATTAATTGACCATGAAAATGGAATGTCACGGCTCGTAGATTTTCCAGATTAGGCATTGCCGTGACTGCCACTCGTTTCTGTCCGAGAGATTATCGCCATATTCTCACCGACGTGTCCAACAGTCCATGAGTTTTTTTCAACCGTACCAACCGTTGCAACACCAACGTGGAAAATCTGCACGATCGTCCGCCATTTTTATCGTATATCTATCTGAATTTCTCGCAAATATAAAAGCGTTTCATTAGACTTTCATTTTACCTTTTCGTCCCTCCAGTTTTATAACGTTTTTCTACTTCGTTCCACTTCTATTCATTCTTTGTATCTCCTTCTGTTAGTTACTTCCGGTTTGGACCGTCTCCATCGTTATTTGATCCTTTACAGTAAAACTCCATTTACCTGAATTGTATTAATCGAAAGAAAATTTGTATTTATGTTAAAAGTAGCAACGTTGACAAGAATAATGAGAAACGGATAAAATAATATTGGGAATATACGTTGTATTACCAATGTACGCTGTTAGTTAAGTAATAGGTAATGGATAGAATTGATGAAATGCTATTTTAAAGTTCTATTGTATTTGATTTAAAGATTTATGCCTTTTCTGAATTACCTCGTCTAAACATCTGAAGAATATAAAAAAGGAACAAAGGAAAAAGAATAATAGTGGAGATGGACATCGTTAATTACAAATACTTTTCAATTTTATAATGGCAATGGAATTTCGCGGACACGGCGTAAAATCGCGCACATGAAACATTCATCGCGCTCGAGGATAATCGAAGGAGGTTAAGCATGCGACGAATTCGCCCTGGCGAGCGTTTCAAACATTTATGGATTAACATTTTCATCACGCGACGCTCGCGGTTCGTGCACGCCGAGCGGAAAAATTTATTTCCACCAAGGGCCAAGACGAGAATCCTGTAAATTTTTTACAGGTTAATCGTAAAAGTCTCCGACGCCGGTAAAATAGTCCTCTCGTTTTGCTCGCTTTCTTCCATTCGACAGAATGAATATAGTGCCTCGTGGAATCATTCGAACGCTTACCATAGAAAATTTTCATGTACATATTCTATTTGTTATGTAAAACATTTTAAAATTTCATTAGCTGTAACGAGACACGAGTGTCATGATTATGTTGAGAAAGTTTGAAACCAATCTGAAAATGTAATGTAAAAATTACAAGATATTTACTGCTCAAATATATCTAATAAAAGTAGTAAAAGTAGTATACATTCTATGTGTTACAGGTGGTTCCATTGAATATCGAGGCTTACTAACATAATGGACAATTGTTTAAACCATTTGTGGTAAGAAATACATATTTGCACTAAATATCTTGCAACTTCTATGCATGTACATTTTCAGATTAGTTGGAAATTTTATCGATACAATTACAATAGTCGAGTCTCATAACGGCGCTAATGAAATATCAAGATATTAAAAAAAGTTATCTACAAGTGTTGGAATATCTTCGCGAGCTACTGTATTCTCGAAAAATAATGGAGGGAATAAATATTCATACAGAGAGACGGTCTGCGCGTTTTTCGATACACCTTGAATCATCATCGTTCATGGCCCCGGAGAAAAAACGAGGAAGCCATTAAAAAATTTCAACATCGATTACGGTGATCGTTCGTTTCTTAAAAATTGCAAAATTAATGGGGAACACCCAGGCGAACCAGTCGACGTTCCGGAGATTTCGCGATTACGCCTTAACAGTTACAACGTGTTGCCATTGAGAAAAAAGCTCATAATTACAACTCGCGGCGGTAAACCGTCTTTTTTCACCTTTTTCGCGAACGGAGGTCCGGCTCGAGACGATGCGCCTCGTGAAAGATGAGAGATAATTCATCAATCGTTCCATAGCCATCGATAATCGAACTTTACTTTTTAATCGAGTACCAAGAAATTTCAAATACACCACTATCTTCTTAGGTCTGTAGCCTGATTAGTCATCGAGGTTACGAGGTTTGACGTATTCACGTACAGTAGCTTACGAAAGTATTCGAATTCATTATATGTATTAGTCGGGACACTTAAAATTTCATTAACATTATAATGAGACCTGGCTATCAGTAATAATTTGTTACTATCTGTTGCCATATTTATCTATTTAATTTTGCTTGTCAAAATGGATAAGAATGAAAATTGAATTTTTTTAAAATAAAGTTCAAGAATGACTAAGAATGTGGGACATAGTTTTGAAAAATAAGACATTACTTACGCAATCATTTAGTGATTGATATTAAATTAATATTAATAAACCACAATACTTAATGCGACCATCTTTAGCACTAATTATATATAGACTGTGATTATTTTATATTTTTCTTAATGTGATTAAAGAAATAGATTTAAAATAAAAATTCGTTTTATTTATTGAATATTCATTAAATATTCTAATAAGTGTCTTACTTTGAATGTTTTATACATTTTTACGTGTTATATGCATTTCATAGATCTTGGAAACCTTAAGTGTCCCAAAAACGCGCAGACATCCGTAGTAATTTGATAAATGTATGTTGTTCCTCATAAAAGTACCAATGAAATTTCAAAATGCTTTACGCAACATACGCACTATACACATAAAAGCTTTCTATGACAAATGTTCGGATATTTTCACGAGATAGTATAGGTTAAACCTACCATGATACCATTGTTGCACGTTGGAGTTCGATTGGGTCGAATATAGGTTATAGCCGGGTTAACCTAGCTTAAAACCACTGAGCACGGGTATTAATGCCATTGTTTGAATAATAACGATATGGTTCGCTGTAGTTAATCAAATCTGCACATGCAAATACTCGCGACGATTTAATATGTAAATGTCCTCGGCTCCCCATCGAATTTGCACAAAATTAACAAGCAACCCGAAATTTCCGCGGAAGTGACCCCAATAACAATTTCCTCGTCGTTACATCGTACACACTCGCACACGCAAATCGTATACGAGAATTCATCGCGACCACTTTACTTCTTTTTTTGTTTTTGTTCGTAAACCTATATGTATACAAGAACAGACTCTGCTCTCTCCCCTCCCCTCTCTCTCTCATTCACTCACTCACACTCCCTCTCTCTCTCTCTCTCTCTCTCTCTCTTTCTCTCTCCGGCGAATTGGCGCGCGTGCATGAATTATTTATACTCACGTAGGCAGCTTGTTTACAACGTGGCCGCGATATTTCGTGGTAGGAAGAAAAAGGTAGCCGTGGAGCCGCACGTTTCCGACGACAAAAATGCCCGCTTACACGATCCCGGCCGGTTCTAATTATACAATCACGCAATTTGTACGTTCACGTGCGATTAAGTCGTTAGCTTTTATGGCGGACGAGGCGGAAAAATTAAGAGACTCGCCCCCCCTGGGGGACCGATTTTTAATGGTCCCGATTTTATTTATTTCACCACTGTATTTTATCGTATGCGGAGAATGACCGTGTCCGCGGTGCTACAACGATTATTACGCTACTTACGCTAAAGATCGATCACGTGATTAACAGTGATTACTAGATCCGACGCCAGGTGGTACACATTCGCCTGACTCGTTCGCGCGCATAACCAACTTTGAAACTTCTCCTTCGTCCGTGATTCCTATATAGGTCAGCTTACCTGATAGATTTCCGATATCGTGGATTATCGTCTCATTCTTTTTGCGGGAAGAAAACATGGATTGGCCGCCTAGAACGCAATCCGTTGAAAGTAACCGGTTCACCGGAGCCGCTGTATCAGGTGATCTCTCGTTACGGAACGCAGCCCCGGAGCAGCTTCTTCGGTAAATTTCTGTTCTCGATCTCGTTTAACCTCACCCTAACACGAATCCAATCGTGCACCTGGCGTACGAGCTCGATCGAAAATTAATAAAAACCACCGGATCGAATTTACACGGAAGTAAAGTGGTTGGTCCAGGCGAGGTCTAATTATCGAAATAATGAAACTCTTTGAGCTGATTCAAATTGAATGTTTGCGGAGATAATGACGTAACGGAGCGTCATGATGACGTTAATCGATCTGTTATACTTTTTAGTTACGAAGTATTTCCTTTTAGTCGTATCTTAAAGTGTATGAACGTTGTTCGCACACCGTGCAAAGAAAAGATATTTAATCACGATATAGGGTGAAAAGATACAGAGAAGAAAGTCAATGTCGTATTTTTAAATTAATATATGTATATATATATATATATTATATAATATATATATATAATTCTCAGTCACGTGGATCTCGGAGGGCGTTTCTGGGAGGTAAGGGCGTAGCAGGATCGGGCTGGATGGGTGTACAATATACAATGCAAACCACGGAATATCACGGATTCTCGTGTTACTTTAGAACGTTTCGATTCTCCTCGAGTTACACTTGTTTCTTTGTTTCCTTTTGTTCATTTATTTTATTGCTTTTCTCTCGACAACGTGTTCTCTTTTCTTTCTCTCTCGCGCTTTCTTTCTCGCTTTCTCTCTCTCGCATACTTTCTAAGCACATAGGACCGCACGCAACGCGCTTCGAGAAGTAACCGCAATGAAAATACAGGAGTGAAACGAAGATAAACAAAACGGGACCGATGATGGTTGAGCAAGATTCTCACGGAACTTCGATTGTGGAAAGATCGCAGCTTGACGTAGGGCCCCGTTACTCGACGATACGGCCCTGATTTGCGCACCAATACTGCGCGTTGCATTCGCGTCGCTTTCGAGCCTCGTTTGCGCTCGAATCTTATATTTTCGCTTCGAGTTTTCTTATACTGTCATTCAATGGTTCTTTTTCGGTTTTTTAGAGCCGAAGAAGCGACATTTTGCTCTTACAAAATTTCCTGTGCAGTTACATTTTCGTTCCAATCGACAGATGTGGCCACGTTTCACTCGTTTTCCCTAAAACAGCCCTACTTTTGTATAATTTTGAATTTTTCTCTCTCGGTTGAATAGTAGTACGATTATAGATTATAGATTTTAAGCAGCGGAAGTGTCGAGGAAAACGAGCTTCAGTCGCGGAAATAGAACTCGATCGGTCAAGTCTAGTAAACTTAACGCTGTTAACCCTTTGATCTCGACTTCATCAAATGAACATTTTTTATCCAACGATATTGATATTTTTAACAAGATTTTTTGATTTGCCACTATGTCAACTGTTTAAGTGTCAAAGGAAGGATGGTGTTGGATTAATTTGTTTAAATCGTCGGGATGCAATTTATACCCTAAAAAGTAGAGTAAATGAAGGAAAGCGAGAAAAGAAAAAGAGAGCGGGAGAAACATTTAACGCATTTATTTAAAATTTTAAATAGGAAAAAAATATTTTAAAAATCATTATAATGACAGTTTGTAACTGACAAAGTAGCATTAATTAATTAAAAAAAGACGTAGGAACAGAGATATAATAGGTATTCACATTTTTATACAATAAAACACGTCGGAGGTATCACGAGTTGTTCTATCATAGAATTAAAAAAAAAAAAAAAATTGAGAAGGACCCTTCGAAAAATAATTCTAGCGACGCATCAGATTCACCACAGCTGTAGTTCACTATTTTATACAATCGCAACATTGCGTGGTGTTACAGAACACGACATTTACATAGGAATAATATTTCGACTACCGTTAACCACAGTTCGCAAAACTCGAACAAACTATAACGTTAATCACTGGAGGCGGATTAAACGGAACTAATTACAAAACTTCACATTTTTACACGGTAACAGCAACAAAATTTTATATCGTATACTACAATCCGTCCCGTTGCTACATTCTCATTAAAAAAGAAAAAGTGAGGAAAAGAACGAAGGAATAAGGAGAGGAGCTCTTTATCGGCATGGAAGAAAGTAATTTTACATTTACACATACATCGATTGACGAAAACGAGCTCCGAGAACGCAAATTGCACTCCAACCCCCGATAAGACATCCACCAGTACTATCACCCTTCCTACAACCAAGCAGTTCTATCAATTTTCATCCAGTACGATATTAATCTGGTCGAAATAATCACCAGAATTCGAAAATGTTACCGACCAAAGGGTTACTTACGAAGACGCACGAAATTGATGTTGTTGCGAGCATTTTTATCTTCCAGAAACAACACAGGTCCTGAATTTCTTCTTCTCTTTTTTTTTTTTTTTTATATCGTTCTTGGGTATTTTTATTTTCGAGAAACTGATTGCTCGATGTTCTACGACAATTCCCGCGATTAATCTACATCGATCGCTAACGTTTATACAAACAGGAGGGACGCAAGGGTTGGGAAGGGCGAGTGGTGTTCCATTTTCGAAGCAACGACGTCGAGATGGGGTGGATGAACGCCTCGAGAGAAATCTTTCAGTGTCGTTTCGATTCGGCTTGGAAATGTTCATGAAACGAGGTTGGTGACGGTTGTGCCCTCTATGCAGGCACCGAATCGAAGAACGACGATCGATCATTCGGTTTTTTACTTTTGATCATCTAAAACACGCGTCGACGCGATTTTCGCGGCCGAATAGCGAGTCGAATCTTTTTCTATTCTCGAATTATATCGTTCGTTTGTTGCACATCTTCACCACTTTCTGTATGGTTTGTTTGTTTGTTTCGTTTTCTTCGCTACTTCCGAGGGCGTCGAGGCGTGATCGGGTAGCGTGCGTTTATGCTTCGTTCACGTCTCTCTAATAATTAATATAATATTATATTCAATAATTAATACAGAGAGAGAGTAGTTATTTATATATATATAATATATATATATATATATAGTATAATATAATATCACTAGGGTACATATGTACAGGGGCTGCAAATAGTAGGAGGTGCTCTCGTATTGCAATGTCTCCCTCTCGCTTACACCTAAAACGCACGCGGGTAGAACGCAACCACTGTCGCTAGCCACGCTATTCGTTAATCTTTCCATCCTCGTGAAACACATTCATGGCTTTCTAGTTACTTTCCGAAACACTTCGAGCGTGACATCTCTTGAAACCCCCAAAAGATCAACCACTATAAAATTGACGATCATTGAAAGCTTGGAATTTCAGAATTTTGTACTTCGAATCTTTCACACGAACTCAGTGTCTAAACAATCGATCCGACAATAGCCAAATGTATCTATACTGCACGAACTCGTTTCCAAGCGTTCCAGGACCATCAACCAGAGAAAGCCATTTCATGGCTTCGTCAAGAAGCTAATCGTTCAAGATAATTGGATATCCCGAAAGTGTTTTCTCACACTCTAAGTGATTCGAAGAGTTCCTCTTGAAATTGTGCCCCGAAACAACTCTCACGTCCATGTAGCAAGGTCTCAGCCCCATTGAACCACGCTCGTCCCACCCTTTCGTGCCCCGTAAACAGAAATGTACACCAGCAACGGTCGTAGAGTCTTGAAGCAGTGTCCAACGCGCGGAGAAGCCGGGCCCCGCGCGATTCATCCCGGCCATTTTATGTACACACTCGCAGGAAAACGGCGTGGTGTCCCGGAAGATCGAGCCCGGCGAACACACGGCCAGTCCTCAGGCTAAAATTGCACTTCGTTATGTCGAGCGTCCCTCGTCCAGGTGCCCGGGGCCCGGCTCGC